TGGAGCGGCTGGGCCCATGAGCCATGGCCGCTGAGCCTGTGCGTCCGGAGCCTGTGCTCCGCAATGGGAAAGACCACAACAGTGAGAGGCCCGCGTACCGCAAAAAAAAAAAAAAAAAAAGAATAACAAACTTGAGCAATACAATTTTGTTATTCAGTATAGTATATTATTATTATCAGTAACCCCCAGGCCACTTCTAAGATCACATTCAGTATAAAAAGTCAAATAGTAGTGCTTCAGTGGAGAGAACACAGGCCAGAGAACTTGTTCCAAGAGTCTCTTTCATAGCTGTGCCACTTATGGCATGTTTCCTCTCCTCTTAGGGCCTCAGCTTTCTCATTTGTAGATAAGCATAACTCCTACCCCCAAAGAATGATCATGAAGATCTGTAGCATATGAGGGTATTGAGGAGCAGCTGCCCCTGGTGCAAAAGGGAGTAGACTCACCCCGCTCTTGTTCTTGCTGTTCACGCAGAGTCCCAGGGCTGGGCCCCCTGCCAGGGACTGCTGCAAGCGCTCCTTCACAGCCACTAGCCGCAGCTCCAGGTCAATACGGCCCTCTTCCTTCGCCCGACACTGAGCTTCCAGGGTGGCCAAGGCCTCTTCCAGACCTTTTAACTTTGCCCCTGTGTCCAAAGACATCTATGAGAAATAGCTGAGCCTGGTTTGGCCAGAAGCATCAGGGAGTTTGGCAGGGCCTCAGGCCCTAGTCTGCCTTCCCAGAGGGCCTTTCCAGGCCTCACTCCTTGTTAAGGGTTGGACTTTGGACCTGGGATTCCAGCTCCATGCAGGGGTGTGTGGTTTTTATCTGCCCGATACCCATTTCCCCATTCTCCTCTCATTCCCTGTAGTTTGGCTGGGGCTGACTTCACTCCTAGTTCAGGGGATTGGCACATAACTTAGACCTGGCCCTTAATTATATCTCATTTTTTGGTCACAGTGGTTGGTTGAGGGATCAAAGCTGGTTCAATCAAAGTGAATCCCAAGGTGTTTATGGGGGCTATTGGGAAGAGAAGCCTCTCTGCTGGAGTGGCTGCACGGATTCGGTGATGGCTAGAGCTGTGTAGCCTTTATACCACCATGAGGGGCAGAGAATGAAACCAATGTAGGGGAAGGCAGAAGCAAGAATTAGAGAAATATGTTTCCTGGTGACATCATTTAAGTCCCTGGACCTTGGTATATCTGATCACTTTAGTTTCCAATTACATTTTTCTTTTCATTTCTAAGCCAGTTTCACTTTGGTTTCTCTTACTTGTAACCAAGAATCGTAAGACAGGCTTTACATTGATCACAAGTTCCTGCTAGGATTTTGCTGCTTATTCAGTTTAAGCCAACAAACCTATATTAGGACCTTCTTTGTGCCAAGAGCTGTTTTGGATCTTACCACGTTTAAAGATTAGTTCCATTGTTTGTCCTGAGGAGGCTGCACTGGAGGGTTTTCTAGTAATGGTTGTTCTTTTCATTCATTTGTTCATTCGTTCATTCATTCATTCAGTTAATAGTTATTGAGTGCTTGCAAGGTACTGGGCACAGTTCTGTGCCCTTGGGATATATCAGTGAACAAAACAGGCAAAGATCTTTGCCCTTATTGAACTTACAATTGTGTGTGTGTGTGTGAGAGAGAGAGACAGAGAGAGAGGGAGGGAGAGAAAACAATATAATAAATATAATAAATAATCTAAGATGTCAAAAACTGATATGCTGTAGAAAAAAACTGAGCAGGACAAGTTTGGACTGTCAAGTTGACCTGCTCCAAACCCTATTCTGACTCTTAGGAAGTTCTTTATATTGAAACCAAACTGCCTTTTTTTAAAAAATAATTAAAAAAATTTTATTTTATCTATTTTTGGCCGCGTTGGGTCTTCATAGCTGCACACAGACTTTCTCTAGTTGTGATGAGCGGGGGCTACTCTTTATTGTGGTGCGCAGTCTTCTTATTGCAATGACTTCTCTTGTTGTGGAGCATGGGCTCTAGGTGCACAGGCTTCAGTAGTTGTGGCACGCGGGCTCAGTAGTTATGGCGCGCAGGCTCAGTAATCGTGGCACACGGGCTTAGTTGCTCCACGGCATGCGGGATCTTCCCAGACCAGGGCTCGAACCCGTGTCCCCTGCATTGGCAGGTGGATTCTTAACCACTGAGCCACCGGGGAAGCCCAGAAACCAAACTGCCTTTATGTGCCTTCTTCCCATTGATTCTGGTTCCTAGCCACACAGAGCAAGTCTTTAAGCCAGAACTTCTCAACCTGAGGCTCGTGGACTCCTAGGCAATCTATGACTCTGGGGGCACAGGAACTCCTGATATTATTTGCAACATTGTGATCTGTGGGGGTTTTCTCTGTTAGGAAAGGGTCCATAGGTTCCATCAGATTCTCATGGGGCTATGCGACCTTGGATGTATTCTTTATAAGGACAGGACCTCTGTTCCCTCCAGCATGTTCAGAAACCTCAGTCTGAAAGTGTGCTGAACTGCAGCTATAGCGAGAATTCAACAGAAACACAGCAGAAAGTGGGGTGCAGAGGAGCCCAGGGCATGCAGAGCCTGCAGAGGCCACGGTCCTGGATTTCAGAAGAAGATCCTGGTAAAGTGTCACCATCCATTATTCCCAGTATGTGAACCAATGTATCACACATTTGGGTGCTCAGTGCATATCTGTGAATGAATGAGTTAATGTGAGGTTCAGAATATCTCGTCCATGATTCTAAGGCACACTCTGTTTTTCACATTTTAGCATTTCTAAAATCAGATCTCATTTTACCACTTTAAGTGTACACATTTGTACGCTTTTTCATCTTCTCACTCTAAAAGCAGTTATTAAATCAGTGGCACTTCCATTAGTCAGGAGAGATGATGATGAGGAGGAGGAGGGGGAGGAGGAGGGAGGAGGAGGGGGAGGGGAGGGAGGAGGAGAAAGGGGAGGAGAAGCCCACCTGTTCCTGGTAAGAAACCAGGTGGCAGATGCCAGGGGAGGTGTCAAGGATGAGACCCCCTTGTGCTCAGGACCACACCCACATAGATACCTGGGCTGTTCCGAATGGCTTCCTTTAGTTCCCTCTTTTCCTGCCGCAGTGTCATCAGCTCTGTCCGGATTGTCTCTTTCTCTTTCTCCAGCTTTTCTTTTTCTACCAGGTACCTCCTGGCATCCTCCTCAGCTCGGTTCTTACCGTACTTATATTGATGGGCACCTGCAGAGATGAAGCAGGAAAAGGCCCTCAATTCTGAGCTCTGGTGAGAGTACTTGGGTGGTGTTAGCTTCTCTCTCAGCCTCAGTCTGTCTGTCTATAAAATGGGAATATTTAGGTCTATACCCCCTGGATATATTTAATGTGAAGGAGAGGAAACAAGGAGCCAAAGGGAGGCAGTAGTGCAAAGAGATGAGGAGTAAGGGCTTTAGGACCGGACAAATCAAGGTCTGTGTTTTCTTTTGCCCTTTACTGGTTGTGTGACATCAGGCAAAGTGAATGTGGTGTTTTTGTGCCTTCCCCCTAGGCTTTACTTTCCTCACTTGTAAATGTGGGTATCAATCAAATTTACCTCTTGGCATTGTGATAAGGTTTAAAAGAGGTAATTCATGAAAAGTACTTAGTATAGTACCTGGCAAATAGTGCTTAGTAAATGTTAGATAATAATAATAATGTAAAACAAATTTTGTGATGCATACACACTTCGGTTTTAGAATTTTTTTAAATAAATTTATTTTATTTATTTATTTTTGGCTGCATTGGGTCTTCGTTGCTGTGCGTGGGCTTTATTTATGGTGAACAGGGGCTACTCTTTGTTGCAGTGCTCTGGCTTCTCATCGCGGTGTCTTCTCTTGTTGCAGAGCATGGGCTCTAGGTGTGCGGGCTTCAGTAGTTGTGGCTTGTGGGCTCTAGACCGCAGGCTCAGTAGTTGTGGCGCATGGGCTTAGTTGCTCCACGGCATGTGGGATCTTCCTGGACCAGGGCTAGAACCATGTCCCCTGCATTGGCAGGCGGATTCTTAACCACTGCACCACCAGGGAAGTCCCACACTTTGGTTTTAAAAGGGCATTTTTATAGTTAACTCTTGGTACATATAAGATAAAGAAACAGCTACGTGTAACTCATCTACAGAGAATTGAGAACTGCAGCTAAAGTCAGGCATTGCCCATTTTATTACTGAGAAATGGGTGGGGGGAGAGAGGGACCTCATAGTCTACTGTAGGCTCTACACTATGGTGGACAATAGCTACAAATTATTATGGCAAAAATTTATTGACCATTTACTATATACTATGCTATTTATATGCATTTGTATTTAATCCTCACAAAACTCACTATTATTAGCTCTACTTTATTGTTGGGAAACTGAGGCACAAAGAGGTTAGGTCTCACTGCTAATTATGGAAGAGCCCAGGTTTGAACTCATGTCTGTCTAACTCCAGGGTCCATGCTATGCAATACTACCTTAGCTTGGGCAAGGTCGTAGTCCAACCTCTCAGTGAAAGTTTTATTTATATTTTTATGCTACAGACAGCCACACATAGTCCTTTGTAGGTGGGGTGTGGAGCGATTCCCATGGTTTGCTGATAATTGGGGGTCTTGTCTCTCCAGCTCTGTAGGGATTGCAGTGGTCACCCATGACGTATGCAAAAATCAGTTCCTCCTACAACTACCCTGCAATTCAAGCCTCATTATAAATAAAGCATGGAGGACAGAGAAGGGGACGCATGGCTCCCCATATTTCCCAGTTACACAATGGCATCCCAAGGGAGTTGGCTCTCAGACTTTTGGATTTTATAGACTGGTAAAATAAATAGGGATACCAACAAAGGGTTGTCACCATTATGTTGTATCAGGTAAGGACCTTAAAACTACCAATATTGTTATTCCCACTATTTTCTATTTATTTTCTGGGTTAAAATAATATTTTAACATCCTGAGTTGGACACAAATGTACAATAAAGTAGTTGTTTATACTGAATACCATTAACTTTATGAAAAACTTTATGCACTGTGCTTATTTTTCTCATTTCATTGCAGATGAGTAAAAACTTCCTTCGGGACTAAACCAGCAAGTAGACTCAGCTTTGGGAGCCATCACCCTGGTCCACCTTGATGTGTCAGCACCACAGAGAGCAGCTTACTTCATACCCAACCCTGTAATGCTTGAGTCACTCAAATGGTGGTAAAGAGGCAAACTAGATTGTTTCTAATCGGTAAGTTTTAAGGAGCTACAATTCTGTGGGTCTTACAGTATTAGTGATAAAATAGAACTGCCCAAGCACCTTCCAGAAAAATCTGGGCCTCCATAATGAAGGAAAAAAGGAATATTTAGTGTCCAAGTTAGTAATGTAACTAATACATAAATGTTGTAGTATGTATCAGTACTTCATTCCTTTTTATTGGTGAATAATAGTCCAGGTGATGTTAGGGGCAAACCTTCCATTGTGTCTGATGAGAAGTCAGCTATTAATGTTATTGGGATCCTTTGTAAGTGATCAGTTGATTTTCTCTTCTGCTTTCAAGATTTTCTTCTTGTCTTTGGCTTTAGCATTTTGAGCATGATGTGTCTTTCTTGGATCTCTTTGCCTTTATCCTACTGGAACTTCACTGAGCTCCCTGGATATATAAATTAATGATTTCAATAAATTTGGCAACTTTTCAGCCATTATTTCTTTTAATATTTTTTATGCTCCTCTTTCTTTTCTCCTTCTAATGCTCCCTTTATGCATATGTTAGTGCACTTAATGGTGCCTCATATTTCTTTGAGGCTCTGTTCATTTTTCTTTGTTCTCTTTTCTCTCTGTTATTTGGAATGCATAATCTCTGTCGATCTATCTTCAGGTTTACTGATTCTTTTGCCAGTTCAAATGTACCCTTGAGCCATTTGATAGGACATTGTCATCTTCCTTTGCTTTCGTTTTTTTTTAACTAAAGTTCATTAGATTTACTTAGATTTTACCTAATGTCCTTTTTCTGTTGCAGAGCTACTACATTACATTTAGTCATTGTATTTCCTTAGGCTCCTCTTGGCGGTGACATTTCTCAGATTTTTTTTTCTCTCAGTTTTATTGAAATCATAATTGACATATAGCACTGTGTAAGTTTAAGGTGTACTGCATAATGATTTGACCTACATACATCATAAAATGATTACCACAGTAAGTTTAGTGAACATCCATTATCTTGTATAGATGCAAAATTAAAGAAATAGAAAAAAAATTTTTTCCTTGTGATGAGAACTCGTAGAATTTACTCTTTTCACTTTCATATATTATGTACAACAGTGTTAATTATATTTGTCATGTTGTGTATTGCATCCCTGGTATTTATCTTGTAACTGGAAGATTGTACCCTTTGACTACCTTCATCCAGTTTCCCTCTCTGTAACCCCTGCCTCTGGTAACCACAAATCTGATCTCTCTTCCTATAAGTTTGTTTTTGAACTGTATTTGACCTACCATATTATATGTTAGTTCCTGGTATACCTCATAGTGATTTGATGTTTCTGTACATTTAAAAATGATTGCCATGGGCTTCCCTGGTGGCGCAGTGGTTGAGAGTCCGCCTGCCGATGCAGGGGACACGGGTTCGTGCCCCGGTCTGGGAAAATCCCACATGCCGCAGAGCGGCTGGGCCCATGAGTCATGGCCGCTGAGCCTGTGTGTCCGGAGCCTGTGCTCCGCAACGGGAGAGGCCACGACAGTGAGAGGCCCGCGTACTACCAAAAAAAAAAAAAAAAAAAAAGATCACCATGATAAGTATAGTTACTATCTGTCACCATACAAAGATATTATATAATTATTGACTGTATTTCCTGCACTCATTTCATACCCATGAGTCATTTATTTTATAGCAGGAAGTTTGTGCCTCTTAATCTCCCTCATCTTTCTCCTCCCCCCATTTTCCTCCCCTTTGACAACCACCTGTTTGTTCTCTGTATCTCTGACTCTGTTTCTGTTATGTTTGTTTGTTTTGTTTTTTATATTCCACATACAAGTGAAATCACATGTATTTGTCTTTCTCTCTCTTATTTCATTTAGCATAATACCCTCTAAGGCCATCCATGTTGTTGCAGATGGCAGATTTCATTCTTTTTAATGGCTGAGTAATATTTCACAGTATATGTATATGTCATATCTTTTTATCCATTCATTTTTGTTTGTTTTTAAATTTTATTGGGGTATATTTGATTTACAATGTTGTATTAGTTTCAGGTGTATGGCAAAGTCATTCAGTTATACATATACATATATTAATTCTTTTTCAGATTCTTTTCTCATATAGATTATCACAGAATATTGAGTAGAGTTCCCTGTGCTGTACAGTTGGTCCTTGTTGGTTATCTGTCTTATATATAGTAGTGTGTCTATGTTAATCCCAAGCTCCTGATTCCCCCCCACCTCGCCCACCACATTTTCCCTTTGGTAACCATAAGTTTGCTTTTTGTTATCTGTAAGTCTGTTTCTGTTTTGTAGATAAGTTTATTTGTATCATTTTTAAAAAATTAGATTCCACATATGAGTGATATCATATGATATTTGTCTTTGTCTGACTTAATTCACCCAGTATGATAATCTCTAGATCCATCCATGTTGCTGCAAATGGCATTATTTCATTCTTTTTTATGGCCGAGTAATATTCCATTGTGTATATGTACTGCATCTTTTGTATCCATTCCTCTGTCAATGGACATTTAGGTTGCTTCCATGTCTTGGCTGTTGTAAATAGTGCTGCACTGAACATTGGGGTGCATGTATCTTTTTTTTTTTTTTTTTTTTTTTGCAGTACACGGGCCTCTCACTGCTGTGGCTTCTCCCGTTGCGGAGCACAGGCTCCAGACACGCAGGCTCAGCAGCCATGGCTCATGGGCCCAGCCGCTCTGTGGCATATGGGATCTTCCCGGACTGGGGCATGAACCCGCGTGCCCTGCATCGGCAGGCGGACTCTCAACCACTGCACCACCAGGGAAGCCCCATGTATCTTTTTGAATTATGGTTTTCTCCAGATATATACCCAGGAGTGGGATTGCTGGATTACATGGTAGTTCTATATGTCATTTTTTAAGGAAACTCCATACTGTTCTTCATAGTGGCTGTACCAATTTACATTCCCCGCAACAGTGTACGAGGGTTCCTTTTTCTCCACACCCTCTCCAGCATTCATTGTTTGTAGACATTTTGATGATGGCCATTCTGACCAGTGTGAGGTGATACCTCATTGCAGTTTTGATTTGCATTTCTCTAATAATTAGCGATGTTGAGCATAATTTCATGTGCCTCTTGGCCACCTGTATATCTTCTTTGGAGAAATGTCTCTTTAGGTCATTTTGCCCATTTTTTTAAAAACATTTTTATTGGAGTATAATTGATTTACATTGTTGTGTTAGTTGATGCTCTATAACAAAGTGAATCAGCTGTACATATACATATATCCCCATATCTCCTCCCTCTTGCATCTCCCTCTCACCCTCCCTATCCCACCCTCCCTATCCCACCCCTCTAGGTGGTCACAAAGTACCGAGCTGATCTCCCTGCGCCATGTGGCTGCTTCCCACTAGCTATCTATTTTACATTTGGTAGTGTATATATGTCAATGCCACTCTCTCACTTCATCTCAGCTTACCCTTCTCTCTCCCCATGTCCTCAAGTCCATTCTCTATGTCTGCATCTTTATTCCTGTCCTGCCCCTAGGTTCTTCAGAGCCATTTTTTTTTTTTTTAGATTCCATATATATATGTGTTAGCATATGGTATTTTTCTCTTTCTGACTTACTTCACTCTGTATGACAGATTCTAGGTCCATCCACCTCACTATAAATAACTCAATTTTGTTTCTTTTTATGGCTGAGTAATATTCCATTGTGTATATGTGCCACATCTTCTTTATCCATTCATCTGTTGATGGACACTTAGGTTGCTTCAGCGTCCTGGCTATTGTAAATAGTGCTGCAATGAACATTGTGGTACATGACTCTTTGTGGGAGTCATGGGGGATTGCTGGATCACATGGTAATTTCATTTTTAGTTTTTTAAGGAACCTCCATACTGTTCTGCATAGTGGCTGTATCAATTTACATTCCCACCAACAGTGCAAGAGGGTTCCCTTTTCTCCACAACCTCTCCAGCATTTATTGTTTGTAGATTTTTTGATGATGGCCATTCTGATGATGGCCATCACCCTCTCCAGCATTTATTGTTTGTAGATTTTTTGATGATGGCCATTTTTTGATGATGGCCATTCTGGCCACACCAGGTGACTGGTGTGAGGTGATAACTCATTGTAGTTTTGATTTGCATTTCTCTAATGATTAGTGATGTTGAGCATCCTTTCATGTGTTTGTTGGCAATCTGTATATCTTCTTTGGAGAAATGTCTATTTAGGCCTTCTGCCCATTTTTGGATACGGTTGTTTGTTTTTTTGATATTGAGCCGCATGAGCTGTTTGTAAATTTTGGAGACTAATCCCTTGTCGGTCACATTGTTTGCAAATATTTTCTCCCACTCTGTGGGTTGTCTTTTTGTTTTGTTTATGGTTTCCTTTGCTGTGCAAAAGCTTTTACGTTTATTTAAGTCCCATTTGTTTATTTTTGTTTTTATTTTCATTACTCTAGGAGGTGGATCCAAAAAGATATTGCTGTGATTTATGTCATAGAGTGTTCTGCCTATGTTTTCCTCTAAGAGTTTTATAGTATCTAGTCTTACATTTAGATCTTTAATCCAATTTGAGTTTAATTTTGTGTGTGTTTTTAAAGAATGTTCTAATTTCATTTTTTTACATGTAGCTGTGCAGTTTTCCCAGCACCATTTATTGAAGAGACCGTCTTTCCTCCATTTTATAGTCTTGCTTCCTTTTCATAGATTAGTTGGCCATAGATGCGTGGGATTATTTCTGGGCTTTCTACCCTGTTCCATTAATCTATATTTCTGTTTTTGTGCCAGTACCATACCATTTTGATGACTGTAGCTTTGTAGCATAGTCTGAAGTGAGGGAGCGTGAGTCCTCCAGGTCTGTTTTTCTAGCTCGGTTTTGGCTATTCGGGGTCTTTTGTGTTTCCATACTAATTAAAAAAAATTTTTTTTCCAGTTCTGTGAAAAATGCCATTGGTAATTTGATAGGGATTGCATTGAGTCTGTAGATTGCCTTGGGTAATATAGTCATTTTGACATTATTGATTCTTCGAATTCAAGAACATGGTATATCTTTCCAACTGTTTG